ACTCCCCCCTCCCCCTCCTCCCCCATCTTCATCCCTAAGAGCAGTCAGGGCTTCCAACCCTGTGGGAAGTTCAAGTTCCTCCCCACTCCTTCCAGGTCCCTGAAGGTGAGCATCCGAACAGACTGGATCCCAAAAATCCAGCACATGCAGAGGAAACAAGTCCCAGTGTCATTGTCAGTGGCTTTTCAGAAAGGCGCCGGACCAGCCACACTCAGAGATCCGGCCACATTAAGAAAATCTGGTTGGATCACATGCTCGTTCAGTCTCAGTCCAACCGACCTTGGTGAACTCTCATTAGATCAGTCCCCTTGTATCAGTGGGTGATCGCACCCCTCGCGGTCCTGAGTTTTTTTCATGTTCTTCCTTTTTCTGCCCCTCATTTGGACCGTGGGGGGCTCAGTCCGGTGCTCCAATGTGGGTCTCCATCTGTATTGTCATTCATCGTCAGATGAAGGATCTGGGACTCTTGTCTATTTCCAATCTCCAGGCAGATAGCTACATGATTTTCAACAGGTACACCTTCTTATTTAGCTTCTCTAGGATCACGAATAATAGGCTCAAAGACCTTTACTTATGGTTAGAATCCACATATGAGTGAATACATACCATATTCCTCTTTTTGGGTCTAGCTTACCTTACTCAGTAAGGCGTTTCCTATTTCCATACATTTGCATGCAAAATTCAAGATGTCATTGTTTTTTACCGCTGAGTAGAACTCTAATGTGTATATGTTCCACACCTTTATTAACCATTCTTCTATTGAGGGGCACCTAGGTTGTTTCCAGGTTCTGGCTATTACAAATAGTGCTACTATGAACATAGTTGAACAAACGCTTTTGTGGTATGATAGGGCATCTCTTGGGTATATACCCAAGAGTTGAATTGCTGGGTCCTGAGGGAGGTTGACTCCCAGTTTCCTGAGAAACTGCCACACTGATTTCCACAGTGGCTGCACAAGTTTGCATTCCCATCAACAATGGATGAGTGTTCCCCTCATTCCACATCCTCTCCAGCATAGGCTATCATTGGTGTTTTTGAGTTTGGCTATTCTGACAGGTGTAAGATGATATCTCAAAGTTGTTTTGATTTGCATTTCCCTGATCACTAAGGAGGTTGAGCATGACCTTAAGTGCCTTTTGGCCATTCAAAGTTCATCTGCTGTGAATTCTCTGTTCAGTTCAGTACCCCTTTTTTTAATTGGGTTAGTTAGAGTTTCAGTGTCTAGTTTCTTGAGTTCTTTGTATATTTTGGAGATCAGACCTTTGTCTGATGAGGGATTTGTGAAGATCTTCTCCCAGTCGGAAGGTAGCCTTTTGGTCTTACTGACAGTGTCCTTTGCTTTACAGAAGCTTCTCAGTTTCAGGAGGTCCCATTTATTCATTGCTTCTCTTATTGTCTGAGCTCCTGGGGTTCTGCTTAGGAAGTGGTCTCCTGTGCCTATATCTTGTAGACTACTTCCCACTTTCTCTTCTATCAGGTTCAAAGTGGTCAGATTAATGTTGAGGTCTTTAATCCATTTGGACTTGAGTTTTGTGCATGGTGATAGATATGGATCTATTTTCATTCTTCTACAGGTTGACATCCAGTTATGCCAGCACCATTTGTTAAAGATGCTTTCCTTCTTCCACTGTATGCCTTTAGCTCCCTTGTCAAATATCAGGTGTTCATTTGTTTGTGGGTTAATACCCGGGTCTTCTATTTGATTCCATAGGTCGATTTCTCTGTTCTTATGCCAATACCAAGCTGTTTTCAATACTGTAGCTCTGTAATAGAGTTTGAAGTCAGGGATGGTAATGCCTCCAGAAGTTCCTTTATTGTATAAAATTGTTTTGGCTATCCTGGGTTTTTTGTTATGCTATATAAACTTGATTATTGTTCTCTCAAGGTCTGTGAAGAAGTTTGATGGAATTTTGATGGGAATTGCATTGAATCTATAGATTGCTTTTGGTAGAATTGCCATTTTTGCTATGTTGATTCTCCCAATCCAAGAACAGGGGAGCTCTTTCCATTTTCTGGTATCCTCCTCAATTTCTTTCTTCAAGGACTTAAAGTTCTTGTCAAATAGGTCTTTTACTTTCTTGGTTAGAGTTACCCCAAGATATTTTATGCTATTTGTGGCTATCCTGAAAGGTGAAGTTTCTCTGATTTCCCTCTCTGCTTCTTTATCCTTTGTGTATAGGAGGGCAACCGATTTTTTGGAGTTGATCTTGTATCCTGCCACGTTACTAAAGGTGTTTATCAGCTGTAGGAGTTCTTTGGTAGAGTTTTTGGGGTCGCTTATGTACACTATCATATCGTCTGCAAAAGTTAAACGAAAGTTTAACTTCATCCTTTCCAATTCAAATCCCCTTGATCCCCTTATGTTGTCTTATTGCTATTGCTAGGACTTCAAGCACTATATTGAAGAGGTATGGAGAGAGTGGACAGCCTTGTCGTGTTCCTGATTTTAGGGGAATGGCTTTGAGTTTCTCTCCATTCAATTTGATGTTAGCTGTCGGCTTACTGTATATTGCTTTTATAATATTTAGGTATAATCCTCGTATACCCAATCTCTCCAACACCTTTATCATAAAGGGGTGTTGAATTTTATCAAATGCTTTTTCAGCATCCAATGAAATGATCATATGGTTTTTTTCTTTCAATTTATTTATATGATGGATTACATTGATAGATTTGCGTATGTTGAACCAGCTCTGCATCTCTGGGATGAAGCCCACTTGATCATAATGGATAATTTTTCTAATGTATTCTTGGATTCGGTTTGCCAGTATTTTATTGAGTATTTTGACGTCAATGTTCATGAGTGAGATTGGTCTGTAGTTCTCTTTCTTGGTTGTGTCTTTGTGTGGTTTTGGTATCAGGGTAACTGTAACTTCATAAAAAGAGTTTGGCAATGACTCTTTTGTTTCTATATTGTGAAATACATTAAGGAGTATAGGTATTAGCTCTTCCTGGAAGTTCTGGTAGAATTCTGCATTGAAACCATCTGGACCTGGGCTTTTTTGGTGGGGAAGTTTTTGATAACAGCTTCTAATTCTTCGCGACTAACAGGTCTATTTAGATTGTTCACTTGCTCTTGATTTAACTTTGGTAAATGGTATTTATCTAAAAACCAATGCATTTCTTGTACATTTTCCAACTTTGTGGCATATAAACTCTCATAGTAAGATCTAATGATTCTCTGAATTTCCACTGTGTCTGTTGTTATGTCCCCCTTTTCATTTCTGATCTTATTAATTTGAGTGATCTCTCTCTGCCGTTTGATTAGTTTGACTAGGGGTTTGTCAATCTTGTTGATTTTCTCCAAGAACCAACTTTTTGTTTTGTTGATTTTTTGGATTGTTTTCTGTGTTTCTATTTTGTTGATTTCAGCCCTCAGTTTGATTATTTCCAATCTTCTACTCCTCCTGGGAGAGTCTGCTTCTTTTTTTTCCAAAGCTTTTAGGTGTGCTGTTAAGTCTCCAATATATGCTTTCTCCGTTTTCTTTAATTGGGCACTTAGCACTATGAACTCTCCTCTTAGAACTGCTTTCTTTGTGTCCCATAGGTTTGAGTATGTTGTGTCTTTATTTTCAT